CAGGACACCAGAGACCCAAGTAGACGGGAAATGCTGGAAAAGCCCCGTTCGTTCGCACCTCTCCAGGCCGACAACGCCAGTGGGCTGGTGGATTCTAATCGAGGGGCCGGAAAGTGCCAAGATCCCGTTGCAATGGGGGGCAGGCGATGGTGAAACGTGTGAAATGGGAGCAAAGGTGAATGCAGAAACCGAGAAACAACTCCACAAACAACCAAAACACCCAAATCAAGGTCTGTGTGTTCGGGGCTCCATGGAAAGTATATCCATGCTGCAACCCATAAGAGCGAGATGATGATGAACAAGTTGAGATGGTGCAAGTGTGAGTGTGATGGGATCACTGACGACAGTGATGATGTAGATGATGGGAAGTGTGATGGTGGTGGTGGTGGTAGTGATGATGAAGATGTTAGGTTGGGTGGAGAGGAAGGAGGTGTTGATGTAGGATAGGACAAATATGACATACAGAGTATGCCTCTTGTGGCCAAACATCCCCACAACAACCCACTCCACAATGATCCCAATCCAAAACCAACATCAAAACCCAAAATGTAGTGGTCACAGTCACAGTCACAGCTGGTATGTTGTTGATGAAAGTAGATACATTACCTGTCCCTTGTGTTGTCTTCATCCTTGAGAGTAGAACAACTAGCATCAAGAGCATCAGTTGCCACACCATAAATGGCATGAACAACTCCAATATGGGTTGCTCCATCCAAAGAGGGCAACGTTCCATAAAGGGAAGCACATCTGAGCATAGTTTCCTCATCTTCATGTCTTCAAATCAACCTAGCATGTGGGTGTGGGTGTGAGGTAGTAGCAATGGCTCAACAAAATTTGACAATAGTTCCGGTATATCAGACAATTTGGCAATAGTTTTGGCGTTCTCGGGTAGTCTCGTGTCGTTCTTGCAGTGTTCTCAGGGTCAAATCATGTAATCACAGTGTTCGTTGTTGTTGTCGTCGATGTCAAAGACCTTTCCTCTATGGGAAGCAAGACAACCGCTATGGGGGGCGCATTGAATTCTGGGGCATCTACTGCAAAAACGGGCTCAATATATACTATTTGCTTACTGTAGCATTATCTAATCTTGATTGCCCCGGCCGCCCCGGCCACGGTCACGTTCTGTTTCACTCTTGTGTTTCGCCAATCTCTGACGCGTCGCACCGCGCACGTGATGTTTCACTTCGCGTTTTATCCACCTCCCAGTGTTTGGGTGTGTGTTTGAGCCACCCACGACATGTTCGAGCCCAAACACGCTCGCTATTGGTTTATTTCGCGTTTCCGGCTCGGCTGGCCCCGGCCCGGTCGTGTCACGTGTTGACCGGTGCCCGGGCGGTCAAAGATGGCCCAAATAGCCCTTGCAGCTGGTTTCCAGCATTCTACGCGGCCCGCGCTCGACAACAGGACGGGAGAGAAAAGAGAGTCAGAGTCGAGGTCCTCCATAGCTGACTCGCGATCCGAGGCGTCGATCCCAAATCTGAACCCTAACCCGAACCTGAATCGGAGGGTAGGAACAGCAGGGTCAAAACCAGTAGAGCACCATCGCCCTCCACGTCAACCTCCATCTAAGACATGGATCGTGCCGGAGCAGGGGAGGCGTGCTTACACCTCGAGACCCACCGGATCATTGTCGGGAACGGATCATCCAACCAGGCTGCTAGAGGTAGAAAACTGAAAGAAACTCTTCCCGTGGATCAATGAGGGCCACCGATCGGCTTGAAGGAATGGTGGGACAAGTGACGGGGGAAGAGGGCCCAGCAGTCAGGTCAGCGCATCGGGACGGGCCATATCCTCCCGCCATAGAGTTGATTAAATAAACACTATGCAGAAAGGTTCATTCTCACTCCACCACTCCTATTTCCTTATTGACTATGCTTAGATAGCTATGCAGACAATGGTGTGAAGGACCTAGACCAGGAAACCTCAGAGTATTTTACCAAAAAAAGAGATGGAAAATTGAAGTGTGTGTAAGTAAAGTATCTAGAAAATGGTATGACCACCAATTGCAGCTAAAGTCCATCCACTATAGTTATACTTGATTAACTATATAGAATAGTACTGTGTGGTTGATTCGAACCTTTGACCACTGACCATACCAAGGAACTGAGTTAACAGGCCTATTGCGAGACCTTCGTCTGTGACTATGCGCAACCTTGCGTTCTTTGTAAATGCAACAAGAAGCCTCGACATAAACTGTTTGGGTTACTTAAACCCCTTTCAGTGCCGGAATGACCTTGGCATTCTATTTTAATGGATTTCATCAAGGGCTTACCAAATCTGGTGAGTTTGGCTCTATCCTAGTCATCATTGATCATGCCTCCAAACAGGCTATCTTCATTCCTTGTGACAAACATGTCAACTCGAACGATCTAGCCCACTTCTTTATTGCCAAACCCTCCTCTGCTTCCTATACACTCTGCTTGCCTCAAAAGCTTCGTAGAGTTTATCCAGTCTTTCATATCTCTCAACTTGAAAAGCACTATCCTAATCTGTTCCCGACTCATACGGACAAGCCTCCGGCTGTGGTTGAAGTTGATGGTGAACAACACTTCTAGGTAAAGGCTGTGGTTGATTCTAAAATCAACCATCGGTACTGGGTTCAGCTCTGGTACTATGTGGAGTGGTTGGGCTACGAAGATACTGACAAGCAGTATACGTGGGTTAGTGCTGACGACTTAGAAGCTCAAGAGCTTATCGACAGTTTTGAATGTTAACACCTGGACAAGCCTGGGCTGGACTATTAAACTTTCGCTTACTTGCTCACTCATACTCGTTTTCAGACTCATCGTGGATTTCGATTTTACAAAGGCCAAAATTATATCTACAGTGGCCATTTTTCTACATACTCCTTCTTGTTCTTAGGTCCTTTCTTCCAGCGCTTGAGCTCACACTCCTTCTTTTTGGTGTTGGACCTGCACCTTTTCTCGCACCTTCCCTCTGCCGTTCCCACTCTGAAACCCTCCTGGACTTGGCTATGTCAAACGGGTCAGGCACCCAGTTGGACACCACGATTGGCGTAGGCGTACGACGGGGCCGGACCTTCTCCAGTGAGTGTATCCCTTGCCTTTTGCTTTTTTTTATCCACTTCTAACCCTGTGATGACGACAACAACAACTCCTTTTTCGAGCCCCTTTTTTCGAGCCCCCATCCACGGACTCCTTCGCCTTGTTGTCAAACAAGGTGTGAGGGTCAGTACGCAGGCCAAAGCCCTTGCGTAAGACCCTGCGTCTCTGACGCACAGGCTTGTCGTCAGACTCGTCGTCGGTGGTCCGCTGATGTTTTTGCACCCTCTCTCTCACCACATCAGCCTCCATCTCGTCGGTCAAGCGACAGAGTTCCTCCTTGTAGGCTCACCCATTTGCGGCCTGAGGGCACTCCTGACAACCTTTGATCATCACCTTTGTCTCCACCAATTCATGTGCTGCACCACGCTGGTGCCCTACAGCCATTCAATTTTAACTTCTGCAGGGTTTCCCTCAAATCTTCTGGGCTCTGGCAGGCCTTAAGCCTAAGATGGGGATACTGTCATATCTGTACATCTGTCATGTGCTGCGGCCCGCGGACTGGTCACGGTCCACCGGGTTCCAGCCTGATGCAATCCCGTTGCTCCAGCTGTATGTCTTGTGCCTTGTTACTTACATCTCTGTATGTCCCTATGCTTGTTACTTTCCATATGCACTCCATGCCTTGTACTTACTTATGGTCTTCCCTTTCTACTTACTATTAGTATGTAAACAGCTAAAGTAGCTACGGTACTTTAGCTTGACTATAAACATTACTTGCACTCTTCCTCTGTATGGAACGACTTCAATAACTCTTCTCTCTTCTCTTGTCCTTCAACTGAACTTCACTCCGCTCGTGGGCATTACTCCGCTCCGACTCCCTCCAGTCCAGTTGGTCTTGTATTCATTCATGTCAGGCAGCTACTGGCTTGTTAGCTATGGTAGAAACCCCTCTGTTCTGCACAGTACTTGACAGTTCTATCATATTCTACTGACTCAGTTCTCCAGACATATAGTTATTTATAATATAGATTGGTTCTCCCCTCTTTTCTTCAACACACCTTACTATATTTTGATAGTTGCCAAAAATAGTCGTGGGGGTATGGACTTGACACGGCTAGTTTTTCCACATGGACAACTTTATACAGCACTATCTCGAATTCAAAACCGACATCATGCTCGAGTCTGATTGTTACCAAATGAAATTTCCACAACCAATGTAACTTATCCCAAAATTTTAGTTTGAGATATATAATATATATATTTATTTCAATGCTTGATCAAGTTACCAGAGTGAAGCAAAGGTATGTCTTGTAACATTTAAAGCTGTGGCATAGCCCTAGCCCTGTCTAGTTTATAATATAGATTGGTTCTCCTCTCCTTTCTTCAATACACCTTACTATATTTGAACATCCTATGACTATATAACATTTAAAAAAAGGCAATCACCCACCAATACCAGAACAATAATCCAAGAATGCAAATTTTTGAAGTTGAAAACCTTTTGTACCAGTAGCAGGGATAATTATGTATTGTTCTGGTCAGTTGCAGCCATATCTATGAACCAATGCAGTGTAAATATCAGTTTATAAAAATGTTGTAGAGATAAATTAAAAACTTTATACTGCTGTTTTTTTTTCTATAAATTGGAAATACTTTTCAAAAGCAGTGGGATCATTATTCATTATAGCCTTCACTGGTTGCCAAAGCCATCAAGAAATACTACCAAAATGCTACACTAGTTTGTTGACTACCTACTGTACACTACTGACTACCCATACTACCTATAAAATGAGCAAGGGTGGGGTGGGTGGATAAGTGAGAGCGATTACGTAACAACAAGGGGGGGAAATACTACAGGTAGTCACGATGAAAGGTGGGGTTCACTACTGCTACTAGAAGATGCAGATGCAAGGAGGGGGGGGATAACAGGGGGAGGAGAAAAAGAGTGCTAGCCATACATCATGATTTGATTGAGTCGTGTTTTTGGGGATCGTCTTAGACGCCATAACGTGCAGCGAGCCGTTCTTGGGTCGGTTGGGGGAACATTGACACTCGTGCCTGCCATGCGGCGACATCGTGGTTCTTGAAGCCTTGTAAGAGCGTCCTAAACATCTCATTGAGCTCGGGAGAGGGCTGGTTCCATCGCACGATAGTGTTGCACAACCAAAGTAGACTCTGCGAAAACAAAAAACGCATCAGCAATCAAGGATTACATCACGAAAGAGAAAATAACCTTGGCGATGGCCCTCGTGGGTTATATTGCACAAGCGTACAGAAACCTCTGAATGCAGAATCCTTCTCCTCGTTGTCCCGAATCTTGTACAATGCTTGACACCAGGCTTGTGCAAACTCGGGCAAGTGCGGCGTAACAAGGTCTGGATGAGTCAACCCGATTCGTCCAATGGAAACGGCGGCGTTCTCGTGTAAGCTTCGTGGTCCCTTGGGATGCAGTAGAATAGGAATTAGCCGGACGATGAGCGGGTTGACCCATTGCTTAAACTCGGGGTCGTCTATAATTCGTCAGGAACAGGGCAACGCAGGCGAACAGAGAAGGCGACATACCCCTTCCATATCGCAACGAGACTTCACCAACCGACCAGGCCGCGTTGTTGGAAGCACTGATGAAGTCGTACTTCGGCTCCGGGTCCAGTTGAAGAGTCAGTTCGGCCATGATGCCCGCCATGTAGGGGCGGAGGAGAACAAAACAGCCCACTGCCATGTCACCAACAAGTGCGTAAGCAGTCTGTCGAACGGGCGCTTGCGGGTGTTTGAGACAAACAGTGAGAAGGGCGAGAAGAGGAGGGTTGCTGGCTGTGATTAATGGTTGCAGCTCCATTCCCATGCCTTGAGTCAACCCGGAGAGAAGATCGAGAGCAACAACGAGGAACGAGTTGTCTGGCTCCTCTGATGCCGGATTCTCCTGGTAGGCCTGGTATTTGAGGAGTGCATTGTGGATGATGTTATTACAGCGCTCAAAAACGGGTTGAGCATACGGCAAAAATGCCGTTCCGATGGCAATTGTAACAGAAGCCAAACACTAAAAACATTGATGAACAAAGCTGCGGCGGAAAGAGATCGAAAAGCAAACCTCGAGAAGAGGAATCAGATTTTCGTCGTCATCCTTCAATCGCGACCAACGCTTGGTCAACGGAGGCATCAGGATATCGACATAACACGGGTTCTGTAACGCCCGACCCACTGCATCAGCAAGGGTGCCAACGGCATTGTATAATATAAGCATATTCTTGTACTGATATTTGTTGAATGCGATGACGAGGTTTTGGAGCACGGGCTCCAGGTAAGGTGCAAGCTCCATGCCCGCTTCTTCTTCGAGGGTGGCAAAGGCGCTGCAACCAACCTCTTGAACTCGTTTGTTGTTGTCAAGGACCATTCGGAGAAGCTATTTAAACCGCAATCAGTGATAAGAAAGCGGCGAAAAATGAAGGATTCTTACGCCCTCCATCGTTGGCACAAAGTATTCATTCTTGTGCTCCTCGGATATGGGCTGGGTTGTCCAGCTTGCGTAGCGGCCAAGGGTCCAGCAAGTAATAGAACGAATGAGGGGTTTGGAATCCGATAGCGTGCTGATAAGATATGGAATGAGAGTCGGCAGATGCGGTTCCATAGCCTCAATGCAACCTAGAATCCGATGCGGTAAGCTTCGATTTTCACATTATCACTTGAAATACACACCCTCGGCCATGGCGCCTAGCGCGAGAATCCCACTCTCCCTCTGTAGCCAGTCGTTGCTCCATAATTTATCCTTCAATGGGCCCAACAGGACATTGAGCAAGTTGCCACTAAACCTGACCGCTAAGACATCCAAAGTGGTTGCAGCACATTTTCGCAGATTCCATTCAGTGGACATTTCATCGACAAAATCCTCATCGTCGAAGTAGTCTTCTTCATCGGAATCGAAGGTTTCTTCACCATAAGCCCCAATACACGTCTTGGGAGGCTCATTTCTGTCCGCATCGCGTTCTAGTCCGTGAGATTTGCCACCTCCATAGTGACGAGGCTTGATATCCGTTTCCTTATCGGGGACTGCTGCATCCTCAGCATCACCTTCCAGCCAGAGTAGATCGTCTTCACCATAGACCATGCAATCGAGTAGAACAGGGGCAACTTTGGCGAGTAGGGGATGTAGATGGTCGGCTAAATCGGCGTCTTCAGCGAAGGTCAACCAAAATTCGCATGCCTCGAGCGCAACGTTTTCGTTCTTGTCTTTGGTCGAGTATAGCATGTACTCCGCCACATTGTTCATCTCTGGCATGAGTTTCTCCGGTCGGGCCGCAAGTAGGAGGACCAAGGCCTAGCAAACGTGGCGACGAACGGAAGGGTCATCGTCAGAGGCGCGTTTAAAGAGAGTGGCGATGAAGTTGTCAATGTGGACGAAGAGCGATTGGGCCCCGACGGGAACAAAGTACGATAAACAGGCGACCGCATGGGGAGCGCATCTTGGCAGATGGGTGGTTGGCCAGCATGAGGAATTTCGGGATCATGAAATCGAGGGGGCGGGTGCCGTTGATCTCAACGTCCATTTTTCCGGGGTAGTCCTCGCATGCCTTTTCGAGAACATTAAAGGCGGCCTTTGTGTAGAGAAGCACATTAGTCTTGGATTGTTCAGTACAAGCTATTTAGGGCACGTACCTCTTGTCAATCCAAATCAGGTGAGTCGAGAGTGTTCATTAGCTGTTGAAGGCACTCAGGCCAGTGACGGGGTTCGAGTTGGCCAAGAAAAGCGACGATGTCTTGACCTGCCGCATTGCGAATCATGACCGACTCGTCGGTAAACGCTTGGAGGACCGCCGCCTTGACATATTGAGCGATTTCTGGGGTCGAAGTCAGGATGAGGCGGGCATTGTTCTTGAGGAGGTAGCCAGCGATGGTGCGGATTCGGTTCTCTTCTTGTGGCATGTCCGTTAGAATATATGCCAGATAGGCAATGTACTCGGGCGCGCGAATAAAGTTGTTTAGTTTCTGTGTGGGTCTTTTCAGCTGGAGTCCAATGGAGAAAAACACCAGCGGAAGACATACGTGGGTGATAGCCCGTTGAACAGCTACATTCATGTCGGTGGATTTGTGAAGCATCTGCAGGACCTCCTGAAGACTCTGTTGTTGGGGTGCCCATGAAGCCATCTTGAACAACGCGTAAAGAGAAGAGAAAGAATGCCGTGTCACGCCAGTGACGTTTCTGAATCCTGATCAATCCACACTTTTCACCATCCGAGTCATTGCCCGACCTGACTGGCCCTTGCTTCTTGCCACACCCCCGGAAATATCGGAGACAACCCTACGCCCCAGCGCAAGACAGACCGCGCAGGCTACGACACCACTGACGGCGGCCAGCAACAGGTGTGACCTGTTGCTTACCCAACGTACCCAACTCTCTCACCTCCACCTCCGCTCGCTTCCCCGTTGCTTCCCCGCCCGCCCAGCCGCCCCGCGCCACATGACCGCCTCCCGCTTCAAAACGCGCTGACTTCGCGGGAGCGAACGGCCCCACAACTGGCGCGCTCGTTCGCCGGGCTACTGCTCAACTTGAACGGCAAGAGCCGACTCGGAATCAGTCGACTCTCCATTGCTAAGTCATGCAATCCGCTCCAACCCCTGGCGAGCTGCGTCTTGTCGCTCCCGCCGCCTTCAAACACCGCAAAATTAATACTAGAACGAACACCGAAGTCAGCGCCAATCTCGATTCTCGATTCTCGAGCAAGACATCTGACACTGGCACCCACCATTGCGAGCGGGATATGGCGGTCAGGCCGTAAATGCGGATGAGCATGCGGATGGAGGGGATGAGATGGTTGAGAAGGGTATGTTCGTCGTCCGCCCATAGCACTTCTCTTGCTCACTGTAGACGTGGTCGAGCGCGCCCGCGGGCGGCCGACTGTGACGGTCAGCAGGGGACAATGGTGAGCTTCTATGCGTCCGTCACCCGTACCATTTTGCTGAATAGTCAGTTTTGAGAGTCAGAATCGATATCCTTTATTGAAAATAGACCTGAAGTAGCATTTCGGTGTGGCAGCATTTGGCCTTTCCTCGAGGGGATTGCTATGAGAGCTGCAAATGTGCTGCTCAGCGGCGCTCCACACAACATGAAACTTACTCGGCTCGTTCTCGACTCTCGCGCGCCGAGGGTGATTCCGGCTGAGGATATGCGCGATCTGGCCTACCTGCAGAGAAGGTTGCGGTCAATGCTTGCAAAGGAGGACAAGCCATAATCTAGTATTGAAGTTGACGAGCCTCCAGCCTTGTCAGCATCATTGTCAGCATCGCTTAGTCATCATTGATCCGTCGGATGTGCCGTCCTTCCGGGTCCACTCCGGCACATATGTTCCTTTTAGTACCTAGTTCCTGTTCCTTATATTCATTAGCTCCTAGAAGCAGTTTGAAGCACTTGCCTGTTTTGTCTCTTGCTCATTTTGTGAGTAAGCGCGTCATTTTGGAGCCCACCGCGAGGGTTTTCAAAAATAGCTTCTGACTCCTACGGCTTACGGCCCAACTCGTCCCGAACCGCCGACTGCGAACTCCGTCAAGAAGTCCTCGCTGCACTTCACGACCCCTACTTGTCCACTCCGTTCCAACCCGGCGACCCCGACGATCTCCTCGAGTCCGTACCTGACTCATTTGCAACACACAGCCATCTCACTCCTCACCGACACGGGGACCCGACACTTGCTTGGCTGTTCGACAACCCGCCAACACCTATCGACGAACAACACTACTCTACCGACGACCAGTCCCCGCCTGACTCTCCCACACCCAACCGCGCACCTCTCCAGTCCCACCAAACCTCGATTACCCCTGGCCAACCAACTGCCCCGCATGGCCCCCCATCCCTATGCCCGCTCGCGGCGCCCACACGGCCACCCGTAGCTGTAAGAATTAGCCTCCTGGCTTAGGTGCACCTAGGAAATGCATTGCCTAGGATAGTAAATGCACCTAGCCTAGGTGTACCCAGTGATCTAGGCCAGAATCACTTGAGGGTCTCTGGATCAATATAGCATCAATGATGGAATAAACTGTTATCTAATACATAGAATATTAATAATAATGCATATATAATACTTTAAACTCCTTTTCTTCAGGCTGATGACCCGGTATATAGTTGGGAAGGCCTGTATCAATAATAATCCTAATTTGGACACAAATGATGGATCATGATATAGCCATCAAAAGTACTGATGGCAATCAAAAATGGTTCCACATTAAAAACATTATATAGATAGGGGCACTGGCTTAGGTAACAGAATACCAGATAAAGAATAATAATATATATTTCTATAAGAATAATACTTTGGCCCAGGGAGAAGTGCTAGCCTAAAGTTCTAGGTGTACATAGCCCCTTGGCTGTACCTAGTAGCCTAGGCAATGTATTTCCTAAGTACACCTACTGGTTTTAGGCTAAATACTACCACTACGGCTCACACGGCGCCAAAGTTCGACTCCACCAAGCCTGGGGAGCTTCGCCGCTACTTCGACGACGTCGAATTCTTGCTCGACCAAGCAGCCATCACCACCACCATCGAGAAGAAGAAAGCGTGCTCGCGCTATCTCTCTGTGGCAGATCAGGAACTCGTTGAGGGCCTCGACGAGTTCAGCGACGCAACGAAAACCTACGAAGAGTTCAAGAAAGCTGCATTAGCGCACTATGCTGGCAACGATGAAGATCACTTACACACCTTGAAAGACTGGGATGCGCACCTCGGCAGCACTGCCCGGGTGGGTATCCATTCCGAAGCCGAGCTGGCAACGTTTTACCGCACCTTCGTCCGGATGGGGAAGTTCCTCATCGCCAAAAAGCGGCTGTCCGAGACGGAGCAGAGCCACGCATTCCTCCGCGCGCTGCAGCCCGCCTCGCTCCAAGCCGCTGTCAAGCAGCGCCTCCAAATCATCCGCCCAAATATCCACGCTGACGACCCATATGAGTTGAAAGACTTGTACGAGGCAGCAAAATACGCACTGGCGGGAGCCCCATCCACATTCCTTTCCACCACCGACTCCCCCGTAAAGCCCGAGCCGGCACCAGCGCCGTCGGTGAACACCGAGCTCAAGGACATGCTCGTGTCGTTGACTCAGCTGGTAACGGTGCTCGGCCACCAGATCCAGACCAACCAGGGCAACGTTGCCCAGCCCAAACCCGACAACGCGCGCGCTCGCGAGCCCGGTTCCAACCCAGGTTGCGGTTACTGTCAAAAGCCGACTCACTACGTCGGTGATTGCGAAGACGTCAAGCAAGACCTCCAAGCGGGGCTGATTAAGAAGAATCAACAAAACCGTATTGTTCTCCCCAACGGCGAGTACGCACCTCGGTCGCTTGAGGGCAAGTCCCTCCGGGAGAAGGTGTTGAAATGGCACGAGGAGAACCCTGGCCGCAAGGTCCAGCCCCAAATGGTCGTCGAAGTTGTCCCCCAGCAGCACGCGCACGCTGCAGAGCCCTGCCTCACTTCCCATCATTACCCCATCCACTCCTTCGTCCTGAGCGCAGAGGAGCGCCTCGAGTCGATGGCAGTCGAGCAGCACATGCTGCGAACGCGTATGGCGGCGAGGAAAGAGAAGGAGGCAAAAGCCAAGAAGGGTGACGTGACACCCGCTGACCGAGACACCGCCGATCACGGAGCCAAGCCCTCGCTGACTCCGCCACTGCCAGCACACCGACCACGGCCAACGCGTCCGCCTCAGACGCGGTCCCAGCTCCCCTCAGTACCTTTCCCAGAACACCCATACGCCGCCGCACGCGATGCTGCTTACGCGCCACCGAAGGACCGGAACGTGGGTGCAGCTCCAAAAGCTCAGCCGCGCGCTTATGCACCGATCCACGACGCGAACAACACTAACGCCTTGTACCAAGCCGTGCTCAACACGCCGGTGACTCTCCCTGCACGCACCATACTCGCTAATCCGGAAGTCTCGGCTCTCGCACGCGCTAACTTGACTCCGCGACGAATCACTGAGAAGAAGGCTGCCGAGCAGCTATATCTGGCTGACGATCCGCTTGCTGGCTTCAACGACTGGGCCGCCGACACCGCTGACGAACGCGAGACGGCCCGCGCTGCCGCTATCGCTTACGCGCTCCCAAACGCGTCCCACGTCAGCCACCGCCGAATCGCGCGGCAAACTCGTCAGCAGAGACGAATACGTCCTGCTCTACGATGTTGGCCAACTCCCCGAAGACTTGGTCGTCTCTGCTGAAACCACGGCTATCCGCTGTGTACTCCCCATCGTCGACAACCACGAGGCCATCGAAAGTATTGTGGATCCCGGCTCGCAGATTATCGCGATGTCGGAGGAGGTCTGCCACCGTTTGGGCCTCCAATACGACCCCAATATCGTCCTACAGATGCAGTCCGCCAACGGCGCTGTCTCCCCGTCCCTCTGCGTCGCCCGAAATGTCCCATTCCGCTTCAAGGACATTGTCCTGTGCCTCCAGGTCCACATAGTGCGCAACCCGGCCTACGACATCTTGCTCGGGCGCCCATTCGACACGCTAACCCGCTCGGTGATCCACAACTACGCGAATGATGACCAGACCATCACCATCCACTGTCCCAACACCGACCGCGTTGCGACCATCCCCACGCTTCCGCGCGGCTCCGCCCGCGCCGACAAACTGGATTTTATCCAGGACAAGACGACCCGCTGGAAGCGCTAGCCGCCAACAACGAAATCGCGCTCGTGATCGACCACGACGCGCTCACGGACTCATTTCACATCTCGGCCTACAAATCACTCGAATCGGACACCCGCGAACACGTCCAGCTCGCTTATCTGGCGGCCTGCGACAACCTAGGTAACTCCTACGATACCGTGCACTGTGCGCACTATGCCGCGCAACCGGCTTTCACTCTAATCGATGGCGATTCAACTCGCCTGTCGTTTCCCTCTCCCTCTTCATTATCATCTCGTACAGATGGGCTAGTCCCCATTTTCTCTATCCACAACTCAACGCGCCTTCCGCGCACACGGCCTTTTTACTCATCTCACCCACTATACTCTAACTTACTTACCTCGCCTTACAGACCGTCTCCGGCCCCAGTCTCTCCACTAATTGATGTATATGCGAACAAGAAATACAAACCCGTTGCAAAGAAAATTCGTCCCATCCTCGGCAGCCTCCCCGAACAATTCCGAATCAC